CACGAGGCAGCAAAACAAAGGAGACAGGAGAAAAATTCAAAACATCCACCCGATGTTATGAAAACAAAACCACCACCAAACACAAACGGACCGCAATTCAGCCGACCGTCTAATTTCGCGCCTTACTTCCAGAATAAACCATTTGTGCCCGCACAAATGACTTACCAAAGGCCATTTCAAAGGTTTACAGCACCGGGTTTTAACCAAGCAAACCAACCGAATATAAATTTCAATAACAGACCCCAACTCCAAGCTCCACCTAACATCAAGCCTGACCCCTCTAGTCAGAATCGACAAAATAATTTTAAACAAATGGCTCCCTATCGGAGAAGTACACAAATAAACGTGCACGAAACACCCGAGGAATCATATTCAGATTACCCGGAATACACCTCCTATTCAGATCAAGATGTGGAACAATATTATAACCAAGCTGCGGCAACACCTGAAACGGAAGAACAGCAGGAAGAGCTAAATTTTTGTATGGTCACCGACCAAACAGTGGCCGAATAATGAATAATTTACTCCCATACTTAGAAATCGCTAGAAAAATGGTAGAAGTTACAGATTTCTAATCGATACGGGAGCAAACAAAAATTATATCACCCCAGAATTTGTTCCAACACAATACATCAAATCAGGTCCCCCATAGAATGTTAAGAATGTGAGCGGTACACAGAAAATTGATAAATTTACTCACTTAAACCCCCTAGCAAATTACGTAGGTGGTTTACCTAATTTAAAATTTTTCCTCTTCCGATTCCATGATTTTTTTGATGGCCTGATCGGCTTTGAATCATTAAGATCTTTGGGAGCTATTATTGACACAGCATCCAACACAATCGTAATAATTAATGCAAAAATACAACTTCAAAAAAAATTCCCCACCAAAGAACAGTTGAATTTCCACGAAAATGAAACTCTAGTGAAAGAGTTCTCCGTCAGAATTAAACATGGAGAATTTTTTATTGAAAATGATATTCCAATCGCCCAAGATGTAATCATACCATCAGGAGTACATAGTGCTCGAGACGGTATAGCTCCATTTCCTATGATGAACCTCAGCAACAAACAGGTAGAAGTCAGTATCGACAAAGAGGCCTTGTTTACTGAGATTCATAATTTTGAAGAAATCTCTCCCGAATCATTTAAAATGGATGATAGGAAAAAAATCAAAAACAACCATAAAACAAAAAATCAGAATGGAACACCTAAACGCAGAAGAAGAAGATAATCTTCTCAGTGTTTTGAAGCAATTTCCAGAAGTTTTCCACGACAACGATGGAGAACTTACGTTTTCCAATGCCGTGAGACATCAGATCAATACAAAAGATGATCTGCCCGTCTATACGAAGAACTACCGCTACCCCTTCTGTCATCGAGAAGAGGTCCAGCGGCAAATAGTTAAAATGTTGGATCAAAGCATTATTCGGCCATCGAATAGCCCCTGGTCCTCACCCATTTGGATAGTGCCAAAGAAGGCTGATGCTTCTGGTACGGAAAAATGGCGACTTGTGATCGATTATCGTAAGCTTAATCAAAAGACTACAGATGATCGATACCCAATACCCAATATCACGGACATCCTTGATAAATTGGGAAGGTGCCAATACTTTTCGACCCTAGATCTTGCATCAGGGTTCCACCAAATTGAAGTCCATAAAAAAGATATTCAGAAAACTGCGTTTAGTGTCGATGGAGGGCACTACGAGTTTGTTCGAATGCCTTTCGGACTAAAAAACGCACCCGCCACGTTCCAAAGAGTGATGGATAACGTCCTCAGAGAACACATAGGCGTGAGATGTTTGGTTTATATGGATGATATTATCATCTATTCCACCAGCCTACAAGAGCACTTGGTCAACCTTAAAAAAATCCTAGAAACACTTCGCAAATACAACCTCAAAATACAACTCGATAAATGCGAGTTCCTTCAGAAAGAGGTTGCCTTTCTTGGACATGTGGTCACCCCGGAAGGAGTAAAACCCAATCCAGAAAAAATAGTGCAATAAAAAATTGGCCTTTACCCAAAAACGAAACAGAACTGAGAGGATTTTTAGGAGTGGTTGGCTATTATCGAAAGTTCATTAAGGACTTTGCAAAGATAGCTAAACCACTGACTCAGAAACTACGCAAAGGGGAAAAGATTGACCATACCCATGAATTCATCTCTGCATTCAACCGATGCAAGAGTATTTTAACTAGTAGCCACGTGCTACAGTATCCAGACCTTTCTAAACGTTTCGTGCTTACTACGGACGCATCAAATTACGCATTAGGAGCAGTGTTGTCGCAAGGCCAAATTGGCCAAGACAAACCCATAGCCTTTGCATCGCGAACCCTAACGAGAACCGAGGAGAAATATTCAACAATTGAGAAGGAGCTCTTAGCAATCGACTGGGCTTGCAAATATTTCAAGCCATATTTGTATGGGCGGAAATTCACCTTATTTACCGACCATAAACCTCTCTCATATGCTTTAAATCTAAAAACCTCCAACGACAGACTAATAAAAATGAAGTTAAGGCTGGAAGCCTACGATTATGAGATTCAATACAGGGGCAAACAGAATGTTGTTGCCGATGGTCTGTCTCGAATTCAAACAGAGGTCAACATGAATGACCAAGAAGAAGATGCAACGTCAGATGACGAAACGGTGCATTCAGCATCATCAGACGATAGTAACTATATTATGATGACCGAGAAACCATTGAACTACTCTAAAAATCAAATTCTAATCAAAAAAGGAGATAGCAACGAGGAAGTTTGCGAAACAGTTTTTCCAGGGATTCGCAGGAGGACTCTTACGAGAGCAACATTCGGAGTTCCAGTAGCGGTAAGGTTATTCCGAGACTATATGTCTCCCACGAGGGTCAATTGCATTCTCTGCCCCGAGGAGTGGTTGAACACATTACAAATAACTTACAAGAACCATTTTGCAAGAGCCCAGACTTTTAAAATTAAACTAACACAAAATATCTTACAGGACGTTAGAACAGAAGAAGACCAAAACCTGCTAATCGAAAAAACTCACGAGAGAGCACACCGAGGAGCAATTGAAAACTATGAGGAGATCACCCGGCAATACTACTTCCCTCAAATGCGTAAGAAAATTCAATTGTTTATAAATCTTTGTCATACTTGTCTGCAGAACAAATACGAGCGTAGCCCTTATAAAATTAAATTCGCAGAAACACCTATCCCCAAAAAACCCTTTGATATTCTGCATATACCTAGACATTTTTATATCATCACCGAATCTATTTTTGTCAGCCGTTGATAAATTTTCCAAATTTGCTATGCTTATTCCGATTAAGTCGAGATCAATTCCCGATGTCAAGCGAGGCATAGTGAAATTGATTTCGACCTATGGAACTCCAAAGTTGATAGTCTGCGATAATGAAGTGGCTTTCCACTCTATCGAAATTAGGGGACTCCTTCAGAGACTTCAAGTAGAAATTTATTATACCCCGTCAAATCATAGTGAGGTTAATGGAACAGTTGAACGGTTCCATTCCACACTCTCCGAAATATTTCTTTGTGTCAAAGAAAAATATAACGATCGCTCCAATAAATAAATCTACAGATTGGCAACAACTCTGTATCATTCCACCATACATGGAGTTACAAAATTAAAACCGGTAGAAGTGTTTAGAGGAATGGGGAAGAAAGACCCAAGAATTTAGACAGAATACTTGAACACAGGAACGAGATTTACGACGAGGTAATCGCGAAAATAGAAGCCAATCAGGTAAAGACAATAGGTTCCAAGAATAAGGAAAGAGAAGATGAACCAATTTTCGAACCAGGTGATCAAATTTACAAAAAAGTTCCAGGCATCCCCAACAAAAGGAGAAGTAACCTTTACACAACAAGATATGAAGTTGTCTTCATTATTTTGTCTAAATATAACTAGAAGGCTGAACAAGGGTTGGAAAAGACTGTTGTTTAATGCTTTAAAAAGCTTATAAGTTATATAACTGATAAGCTTTTGGCTGATTAAAATCACCAGATTTAGATCGATTGAACAACGCTTGATAAGCATTAAATTGTTACCTGGGATAGCTTCGATAACTACAATATTGCTATCGGAATCACAGAAAACCAGATCCAGGAGCCACCCCAGGTGGTTGAAAAAAGAGTTGCAGAAGGACTCCATCAGGCATTGCGTCGCGTAACTAACTCACAAAGGGTAGATAAATGAGCATCGATAACACCTACGTCCCGACTACGATCCGAGGGATTTGTTCCAGCCTACAGCCATTAATGGTCTTAATCTCAACAGACTTGTAAACGCTAGTGCCCACATTTTAATACTAAAGGTCAGATGCTAAAGGGTCATTACCCACCAAGCCTTGCACATCAACCGGCGGAACTCAACGGAAAAGTCCATGTATTCAACACCGAGACGCAGTTATTCCTTTCTGGTCTGGTAGCTCTTCGGTTCCAAAGGGGTCATTCAAATTTGTTATTATTTAAGCGTTCAATTTTAAAATTCGCAAAATTTTCTGCGATCTTTTTTACAGATGCCCACCCGAATGTAACGGAAAAACGACATTAAGCTACTATTAGCTACTGTATGATAACAATGCAAAAACAATTAGGTAACATTGTTTGTTATAAAGCTTTTTCCGGTAGTAGCTAAATGATCATTTTTACAACAAAAATTTAACGTCTTATCATTATCGTACATCGTATGAGTAATGATTGGCATTGCAAACTTATTCAAATAACCTTTATTCCTTTACGCCGTTTTGCACGATTTCCTTGATGTACGGTTAAAACTGGTTTGTTTTTGCAGTGCAAGTGAACTCCAGAATTTATCACACCTGCAATCTAGATAAATGATAACGATGTTGTAAAATTTAATCTCGCCAAATTTGGTTGTCAAGTTTAACCTCATTTTTTTTGCTAAAAAGAAGCTCCTCTTGACTCTAACCTAAATAAACCAACTGAGGCAAATCGTATAAATGCCCAAACGGACCCAAACGAACTCATTCAGTCCGTAAGTCACCATCAAAATGTTAGCACTCCTACTAGTAATATCCGTGCTGCTTCAGCTGTCCACTCAGCAGGAACTGCCCGGCACCCTGCAGCAGAGAGCCACACCCCAGGTGCAAGCTGCCAAACGGTCTGGCATTGAAGCAGCCAACGAAACATGCGATGGAACGCGAATGTTTTCAACCTGCGCCGGATGTGATGTGGTCAGTGTTTGTCTGGGTGATACGACGGATTGGCGTCACTGCCCGTACGTAACACCGGACAAGCCGTACTGCAACAATGGAGAATGTTCTGCAACACCAAGCTTCGATGAAAACTGCCCTCCTAGTTTGTATTGCACCGGTTCCGGTTACTTCCCTGGTGAGTTTTGCTTTCGTGGTTACATTATGCTAGGTCTTTCATCATTTCCCCCATTCCTCCCGACAGACCCGGAAACTTGCGAAATTTACCATTTCTGTGAGTACAAATATGCCATGTCACTCGTTTACAAGTGCCCTCAGAACTATGTCTTCAATCCGGAAACATCTTTCTGCAAACGGAAGCAACAGGAAGGGGACTGTATGAAAGTTCAGTGCAATGCAGAGGAAATTTTCTCCAGCTACGGCACCAGCAAGCGATTCTTCGGCTACTGTAGGTTCAGCAGTGGACCATATTCGTATGGAACGGAAATCTACCGATGCCCCGAGGGAACTCAATTCGATGGCAAAACTTGCGCTTTCCAGTGTCCGGTGGAGGGACGGTTCCCGGATAGTACGGACGCTCGGACCTACTACGAGTGCTACTATTTCGATGAAAAGTTAACGGCTGTTACGCAAGTTTGTCCCTACGGGAGGGTGTTCAATCCTAAATTGTACGTTTGTGTTACGGACGTGGTGTCAACAACAACAACAACGCCATGGCCATACACTGAAGGTTTGTAGTTTAGGAGTTCTGATTGGTTGGGTTGATTAACTGACTTTTGTTTTACAGGAACCACGGGCCCTTGGTAATAAGCACCAGCTTAGATGGAAATGGTTTACGATATTTTCATCCTTATGATAAGTATCTGATCGCGCACGGGCAGGATCCCTACATTGTATTTTTGTTATACGGATTGATTAAATATAAAGAATACCGATTGGTTTGCCGTCCTGCCAGGACGGAGCCATACGAGACACTGTTTTATTGTTTATTTGTATTGCTCGTTACAGCGGGTAGGGTAGTGTGGCTCAAAATTGATCGTACCCTAGAGGACAATTTTTTGAAACATGGTGAATAGATGCATTTTTTTTAAATCGTGGATGGTTGAACAGATGTTTATTGATTTATTGCTATTGTTTTGGTCTTTATTGGAACAGCCTGTCTTAAGTTAGATTTTTTTAGTAAAACGCTCGATTTTCAACTTTTTACCTGGTGGACGAATTTTAGTAAACTTATTTATTTAACCACCATATTTGACATTTTAGCCACACAGACTGTTTGAAGTGACTTAATCTTATTCTTAAAAACTGGTCTACTTATATTAAAATCAAAAACATCCCACGCAAAAATTTTGGTTTTATGAGGGTTCTGTAGATCATGATTTGGACTTGAAGAATGCTATAAAACATCGATAAAACCTGCAATGTTACTTGGGTAAACAGTCTGCAACATTCATCGAGAGGATTGTTATAACCGTAAGCAGTACGATGTCCGGGAGTCCACAGAAAGTAATAGTTGCGGAGACGGCGAGCTGGAGTGTGGAAATTGATGTTCCCGAGCAAACAACTGCAGTCAATATGATTACTAATCATGTCAAATATGCACTCTCTGGAGAAAGACTCGGCGATTTGTTAGTGTTTGCAGTCCAATAAGCGCACATCTATGCTCGTACGGAGGTAAGCTATCTGGATTTGTCCATGGCAGACGTCGTAAAGCAAACTTTATAAACTGTTTCTGGATTCTCTCGATGCGCAGTACATGAACAGCATGATATGGAGCCCAAATTTGTACTCCATATTCAAGAACACTGCGGACCATAGAGCAGTACAGCGCTTTCAGGGCGTACACGTCGTCGAATTGTGCAGTATTGCGGCGCAAAAATCCTAGCATGGAGTTGGCCTTTGCAACTGTCATGGATATGTGCTCGTTAAACTGTAGTTTGCTGTCCAAGATGAGCCGAAGATCCTTAATGGCATTAACACTTTCCAGCGGCGATTGATTCATAGAGTAATCAAAAATGATCGGAGAGTGAGAGCGGGTAAGGGTAATCACTTTGCATTTGGCAGCATTGGCTTGCATTCCATTCATCTGACACCAGGATGACAATCACTCTATATCAGCTTGTAGTGCGCAACAATCCATGATCGATTTGACCACACGGTACAGCTTAAGATCATCCGCATATATCAACATACAGGAACTTAGCATATCACACACGTCGTTAATAAACAGAACGAAAATTAGATGTCCTAGGTGACTCCCTTGTGGAACCCCCGATGGTATATGGAATACCTCGGATCTGGAATCACGTACTTTAACGAAAGCCTTCCTAGATGATAAGTATGATTTCAACCAACAAACGATCCACGGTGGAAGACCAAGGCGGTTTAGCTTCATAATGGCTAGGTCGTGAGGGACTTTGTCAAAAGCCTTAGAGAAGTCGATGTAAACGGAGTCCACTTGCTGACGCTTCTCGATGCTACCTATAAGAGTGTTCGTGTAAGGCATCAAGTTAGAGACTGTCGAGCGCTTTTTCATGAATCCATGCTGAAACTCTGAAATTATTGGTTGAACAGCTGGGTACAACTTCTCATGCAGAAGACTTTCGAGAACTTTAACCAAGCAGTTCAGGATCGAATTAGGTCGGTAATTTCCCACTTTATGCATGTTACCGGACTTGAAGATTGGTGTAATTGAGGCGAGCTTCCAGGCATCCGGAAAAACGCCATCCTTAAGCGATCGATTGAAAATAGACATAACGGGAGTGGCCAACGATGCTGCACAGTTCTTGACGAAAGACGGTGGAATACGGTCCGGGCCTGGACCTTTCGATTGATCGACTGAGCAAAGGGCTTTGAGAATAGCGTCTTGACTGAAGATGAGCTACTGCAGGTGAATGTCGTATCTGGGTAGCTAATCAATGTATTGCTGCGGTGGAGGAGTTTGATCGGGTTCGAAAACACTTCGGAAAAAGTCAGCGAAAAGGTCAGCAGAAGCGGTGTCAGTGATAGAGCTTCTACTACCGTAGGTGACGTCTACGGGAATACCAGCTGATCTTAAAATTAGTGGCATATACTTAAAATAAGCAAAATTTCAAGAAGTTATGATCATTTTATTTCATGAAAATGAGGCGTTTTCCTTAAATTGCTCCAACTTTTTGTAAAATCAACCAAATATTCCAACGGCGCCGGTGGTGTAGTGGCAAGCGTGATTGCCTCTCACCCCAGCAGGCCTGGGTTCAATCCCAGTCGGCGCCACCGTGATGTTCTGAGGCATAACATATCTGATCACGGGAAGTAAAGCCGTTGGTCCCCGGTTCATAAGTTGATGGGTCGATAGGTAGGGTCCAGGTGTGGGAGCTGCCTTCCTGGCACGTCGGTAGCATTGGTGCTCAGCACGGAAAACAAGATCGACGGAAAACAAACCAAGGAAAAAAAAACCAAATATGCCTTGTTGTGGTCAACTGTGGCAGTCCCTATCAGGAGCGTCTGTAAAATGATCGATAGGGCTGCAGTATAACTGTCATAACAGAATAGGTAGAAACGGAAGCGTTAGATTGGACTGTCATCGACAAGAATATATATGTGAAAAGACCGTCGCATGGTTAATGGACTTGCTGAAAACTAAAGTTATTAATTTGTTGTTAATCAAATCGGTTTTTTCATCTCTCTTTACCAAACTCCCCCTTTGGAGAGGGAAGGTGAGGGGTGTCCCCCCCGCCACCACTGGCAAAAAGAGATGAAAACCGACCCGTTCAAGTACCAACTGTGTGTTTGAAACAGTTCTACCGATTTTTACCGCACTTCAATTGTTATTTGAAGGAAGGCATCCAGTCGTAGGTTTGGAAATTGCAACCTTCCTTAAAAGTTGTCCTAGTTCGCTATTCTAATATCTATATACAATCTTCACACTGCCGTACTCTAACGGAACTATCAACTCTATGCTTTCATCTACTCCATCTATCGTATAAAAATTACCACTACAGTCTGTTATTTGAAATTAGCATCTTCAACTATATAAAACTTACAGCCAAAATAAATATTTTTATTGAACAAAACAACTATACTACAACTAGGAATCGAGCAGTCATAAGTCTGCATATTTGAGAATTAAAATTAGAGAGTGGAAAAACTTGAAGTAAAGAGGAAACTAAAATTGTGAGAAATGATAAAATGTAATGTTAAAACTAAAACTAATATAGGGGAAATGACGGCTTCGGCATGACAGACTATTTTCGGCAACCCAAATTGAAACACTATTTTCACTGGATTTTCTTACGAAAACACTTCGCTGAATGCATGCAAACGATTCTTTATGCTTTCAGCTTCAATGTGACTATATTTTTACCACTGAGAAAAAGCAATCTAGCAAGGTTTTCTTGAAACGCAACACACGCAGTACAAATTGTAGCTGATTTTGAGTTGCCGATAATAGAACAGCAGATTTACATGCAGTTCATATGGAACGGTTGCCGAAGAAAAACTGGTTGCCGACCATACTCGCTCTCACTAGAGAAGATTGGAGCTTTGTAAAAGCGTTTCAAAACAGTTTTTGACAATTCTTTCGACTGAAATTGTTAGAGCAGCTGGCAGCAAAAGATTGTAAACAAACCAATACTGCATATGTGTGCGTTCCTTAGAGAAAAAGGCTATAGAAAGAAGGTCGCTGCTTAGGTTGCCGAGAATACGTAAATTCCCCTAATTAATAAATAACAGTTTGATCTGTAAAGTGCAAAGCAGATTCTCAAGAAGAGTTTCTCAACCCGCAGTACCGAACATGCCTAATATTGAGCCAATAATTGATAAATGTATGTTGAGTCAGCTGCCAAAAATTCAGAGACGTATCTTTTTGACTTGTGCTTTTAGAGCCGATTTTTTAAAATTTAAACACAGCTGTACGCTGTACATTTAAATGACGTTGCACAAACACAAAACTATTCAACTGCATATCTCGAACCCTTTCTCATATGTGCTCAATGATGATAAAGGTCAATCTTCTTCATATGGGTCATTTCCCGTCAAGTGTCCGAGGCAAGTGAGATTGACCTCTTCCGATTTGGATCAACTGTTGAGGAGGGCAACTTTTAAAAATTAATATATAATAATTTATATTCAGATTTCGGATCTTGAAATGTTTTCCAAGATCGCTGCTTGTGTGACAAATATCAATATGATTCTCTTAGAACATTTTCAAGATTCAGTGGCTTGGAGAAATTATTCATGATTCTGGAATTTTGTGGCATTGCCTTGAGCATTTCTGAAGGATTTTAAGACGACCTTAAAGGGGATTCTAAGGAGTATTCTAAGATCTGAGTCAGAACTTTAGACTGGAATTCCACTTTAGTTTTCAGGAGAACTTCAAGCAATGAAATGCTTCCAAGATAATTCAGTTCGGCAGAACAGAAAAATCAAATTTCTATGAAAATACGTACTTTTGTGAATATTAACCCAGTTCTGGGGGTGACCCCGCATAGTGGTTATCCATGCCTCTCACGTCAAAGTCACGAGTTCAAATCTCACGCCCGAATAAGTCACGAATGACCCAATAGTGTTAAAGTGGCTATCATTGAAAAAAAAAAGAACTGCGTTGTCCTTTACGTATGGATTTAGCATGGTCTATTGATTAAAATACAAACTTATTTTTCAAAGATATGAGCCAAAATGCAATTTGGCAGAACCGAAAAACCACATTTCTGAAAAAATACGTATGGATTCAGCATTTCTGTAAAACCCACGCCTATTTTTCAAAGGAAACCCAAACTTCATCAAAATACAAAAATTCAAAAATTCGGCCCTGACGTATGGATTCAGCAAGGTCTATTCTATAAAATCCAAGTCTAGTTTTCTAAGATCGGAGCCGAAATTCAACTTGGCAGAACAGAAAATCAAATTTTTTTTGCTAATAGGTACTTTTGTGAATTTAAACTCGGTTTGCTCCAAAATTTAGAAATTCAACCGTTGCGTATGGATTAAGCACTTACTTATCAATCAGGCAAAGGCCTTGTTGTCCTCTGCTGTCCGAAGAAGTCGTCTCCACTCTATTCGATTCATAGCCACACTTCGCCAGCCTCTTATTCTGCGAAGGGTGCGCAGGTCTCCTTCTACTTGGTCGATCCACCTTGCCCGCTTCACTGGGTCTTCGTGCGGCATTGTTACGACGTGCCCAGCCTACCGTAGCCACCCAATTTTTGCAATGTGGACGATGGATGGTTCTCCCAGCAGCTGGTTCATTCGCCCCCTCCACGTTCCGTCATCCATCTGCACTCCACCGTAGATAGTAGGCAACACCTTCCGTTTGAAAACACCACGAGCATAGTCCAGATCTCGTGGCCGTAGAGGACCACCGGTCTAATCAGTGTCTTGTAGACAGTCAACTTCGTGCGGCGGCGACTTTTATTCGACCGGAGCGTCCTTCGGAGTCCAAAGTAGGCACGATTCCCTGCCATAATGCGTCTTTGAATGTCTCTGCTGGTATCATTTTCGGCGGTCACCAGTGAACCCAAATACACGAACTCATCGACCACCTCGATTTCGTCACTGTCAATCTGAACTCGGGGTGGGAGGCTTACATTGTCTTCCCTAGAACCTCTTCCTTTGATGTATTTTGTCTTTGATGCGTTGATGGCAAGTCCAATCCGCCTAGCTTCAGCCTTCAGTCTGATGTACGTTTCCGCCATCGTCTCAAAGTTCCGTGCCATGATGTCAATGTCATTGGCGAAGCCAAGAAGCTGGATGGATTTTCTGAAGATCGTGCCACTCGTGTCTATTTCATACCTTCTAACGCGATGTTGAATTGCAGACACGAAAGTCCATCACCTTGCCGTAACCCCCTTTGAGATTCAAAGGGACTCGAAAGTATCCCCGATACTCGAACAACGCACATCACTCGATCCATCGTCGCCTTGACCAATAGTGTAAGTTTATCCGGAAATCCATACCCGTGCATAGTCTGCCAAAGCTGATCTCGATCGATTGTGTCGTATGCGGATTTGAAATCGATGAACAAATGCTGTGTGGGCACGTTGTATTCGCGGCATTTCTGCAGAACCTGCCGAATCGCGAAAATTTGGTCCATGGTAGCGCGGGCACCCATAAATCCGGCCTGGTATTGCCCCACAAACTCTCTTGCACATGGTGACAGGCGGCGGCATAGAATTTGGGAGAGTACTTTGGGGGCGGCGCTCAGCAGTGAGATCGCGCGGTAGTTGCAGCAATCCAACTTGTCGCCCTTTTTGTAGATTGGGCATACGACACCTTCCATCCACTCCTCCGGTAATATCTCCTCCTCCCAAATCTTGACAATTACCCAGTGCAGCGCTCTAGCCAGTGCTTCACCACCGTATTTTAATAGCTCAATTGGAAGTTGATCTACACTAGTTGCTTTGTTGTTCTTCAGCCGACCGATCTCCTCCTCAACTTCTTGAAGATCAGGGGCCGGTAGCCTGTCGTCTTCTGCGCGTGCTCCAAAGTCTGTTGCCATGCCACCTTCGTTTTCTGCTGCTTCACTGTTGAGGTGCTCGTCATAGTACTGCTTCACCTCACACTCGTTCGTGGGAAGGTTACCGTCCAAGTCCTTGCACATATCGGCTAGGGGCACGTAGCCTTTGCGCGAACTATATAGCTTCTCGTAGAACTTCCGTGTGTCGCTTACGCGGTACAGATTTTCCATCGTCTCGCGATCTCGGTCTTTCTGCTGACGCTTCTTCCTTCTGAAAACCGAGGTTTGTCTGTTCCTCGCTTGTCTGTATCGCTCCACATTCAATCTCGTGTGGTGTTGCAGCATTCTCGCTCGTGCTGCATTCTTCTCCTCTACTAACAGCTTGCATTCACCGTCAAACCAGTAATTTCTTCGGTCCGGGGTTACAGTACGTAGTGCCGCTGCAGCAGTACTACCTGTGGCGGAGTGGATGTCCCTTCAGCCATCTTCAAGAGAAGCTGCGCCAAGCTGCTCTTCCGTGAGTAGTGCAACTTCCAGCTGCTGCGCGTAGACCGGCGTCCCGTAATTGCTCAATGTTGGGTCGCGGCGTTCGACTTCGATGGGTGTTATGCACCGTCGAGAGTTTTGAGCACATGCATACTAGGTAGTGGTTTGAATCTATGTTCGCCATAACAGCAATTTATAAAATAACGAATATTTTGAATGGCTCGAGTGACACTTGCCTTTGATAAAAAAAAACACGTCTACTGAGGATTCATAGTTATGGAAAAATCATATATCAATGAAACAGTCATCGGTCGTCATTGAAAAGCAATGCAACTATGTTCTGTCAATCTAATTGACTTTTATTGGCTCTGTTGTCTTGTGAATTTTAGCTAAACGGCCTCTTTTCTGAGTTTTATTTCTCAATCTATGAAATATACACGAAAACTATGTTTTAACGAAACTTCTAGAACAATATGAGGAACATTATGCCGTAGACTACACATTTTTATATCATACGGGTGGAAAATTCGTAGAACAAATACTTTAAAATTCTTCACTTTTTAAGATATCTTCGAGCATGAAACTAAGTCAAACTTCAATAAAATCACTTCTAATAGTCAACCTTTGGTCACAAAGTTGATACATGACACATTAAACTTTGCTATGAAAGTTGTTACAGCAGTTTTCGTTATTTCAGTCTCGAGATACAAATATTGTAAGCCGTAAATTACCTTAAAAACATAAAATTAACTTGAAGCACCTCAAAATCATCACCGATTTTGCTGAAAATTCACACAGAAGTACAAATTAACATGACGAACAGTAATCACGGTTGACCCGTTACATTCCGAACATTTCGTTTAAAATGAACAGGTCTAATATTTATTGTTTGTTTTTACATACAAGTACAGCACATTACAGTAGATACATGATAAAAGTGACAATTATAGATGGACAAGTGGTGACATCTATGGACAGGTTCAATAACTGTGTTATGCTTAGGGTAAAGGCGGTAATCGTTGCTTGCACGAACAACTCATACCCTGGGTACTGCGGACTCACTCAATGTGCTTGTCACTTGGGAGCCAGTCAGAACTGTCAAACGGGAGCCAAACATTCAGAAGCAACAAACTCAGTTACTGTTCTTACCTCTCGTCAAGCATTGCAATCTCATAAAAATGATTCATACTTTTTCATAACACATTCTTAATTGTAAGCTCAAAGACAAAAACCAACTGGCTCAATAATGAAAGTTTAAAAACCAGCATAGTTTTTATGACTCAGCTGAGTTTTCAATTGCAGTAAAACATACTTTGGCGAAACATGGTTGTAAACAAATTTTGATAGAGTCATGGGGGCTCGAGCACTCCTGGCTCAGAGCTTTTGGCGGGAATCAACTCAGAAAGAACAAAACAATTTTAAACTTGAACAAATTTTCAAGCAGTTTTCCATTGGCTTGCAAAATGGAATCGATTTACTCCGCAGTACTCAGCTCATACCCCACTCACTTGGCCAGGGCAGTGCGCAGTACACTCCAAGCTCCCTTTCTTTAAAATTCACCCCAAATATGATATGTTACGCCTTTGAGAATATTAAATCCTATTTAGGATTATATCTGAAAATCCAAATCTGGCCAACGCCCATCTCTAATCCATTTAGATAAATAAGAACATATATTATAGCTGATGGAATAATTCAGCATTATTCTTAAAATTAAGAACAAAATCAAAATGATATTTCTATAAGTTGATAATTCTATAACTAGATGGTTCCTTCAATATCGAGTTGTGGAGAGTTGACTGTACTTCTATTAGTTTTACATTCTTTGTACCGTTTTATAATAATAACTTTAGTTTTAGATTTCTTGTCCAATTTCCTTATGACAAACATATTTTAATACTATCTGTAGCTTCATTTGTTCCGGAGATATTAATAAAAGAAAGTATCGCTAACTTGAAATTCAAACGTTGTCTTGGACCGTGGCATGCTCCCATCAGCACAAGCTTTTGGATTTTTAAAATCTGGTCCAATTTCACTTTTGTAATTTTTATCGGTCTCTTGGCGTGGAATTGACCATATACATGCCTTAATTAAGATGAAAGTTAATGCTTTTCCATTGATACTGACACCCGTTCGAACCACACCCAAATTCAGCCAATACAACAATGGGTAGTAATGATGCGTTCACCACAAACTAGTTCGAACAGGTCTAAGCAGGCAATGTAAATACGTGATCAGCTTATCAGAAATAAGAGTAAACGGAAGCCCAAATCCCTTTGAATTATTCTGCACCTCATGAACTATTGCGCAGTTTTTTCTTCAAACGATGAATGGAACTACTACCCATATTCTCCTGTTATCTTAATAACCGGGATTAGTTTCTCAAACAAAATGCCATCAATTTCCAAGAAATACTTCATCCTACTCGTAACTACTCTATAAAACCGGGAACCCAATCCAAACGAGCTGCATCGTACTTTATCGCAGCAGCTTCGCAATGCACCAGCTTCTGTTTGTAGCGACCTTTCTGTGCCTGCTCGTCAGCTCACAAGCTCAACTGGACGTTCCCGGTGTACTGGTAAGCCGTGCATCGCTTCTACGAACGTTCACAGCGGAAAGCTGCTCCGACGGAACGGGGAAAATTTCCATCTGCAGCAACTGTACATCGCTTTCCTTTTGCTTCGGAGGCAACCCAATTGCGGAGGCAACTTGCGCCGGTTCCAACCCATACTGCAATCCCGGAGATGTGGCTGCCAGCTGTTTGACCACCCCGGCAAACGGTTGCGGGGCACCTGCCGGCACAGTGAGTGCGATCGTGTGCACGGCTCTTGGCGTTCTACCAGGTATGCTCCGACTGTCTTGACAGATCTACTAAATTTTAAGATTCCTAACATTTCAGATCCCAACAACTGCAAAATCTATCACGTATGTCGCAATATGCAGCAGAACTCCGACGTCTATCAGTGTCCTCCGGGATATCACTTCAATCTCACCTCGCAATGGTGTCGATCGGATCAGGCCGAGCAGTGTGTTCAAGTTACCTGCGGTACAACCAGCGGATTCGTGTACTATGGAACCTCCCGGCAGTATTTTGTGTACTGTTCGTTAGTCAATGGAGTACCTTCGCCGGCCAGTATCTTCAAGTGCCCAAACAGGGCTACGTTCAATTTGACCAGCATCAGCTGCGTGTACCAATGTCCAGGTCAGGGCAATTTTGAGAATTCAAACGATCCGTCCAGTTTCTACCAGTGCTACATCGTCAACGGACAGTATGTGGTGACCCTACAGAGATGCCCAACGGGGACGACATTCAAGGAAGCGTTGCAATATTGTGCTTAGGAGGCGAGTGGAGGAATCGAGCAGGTCGGTTTGATTAACAGTATCAATTTGCTCTGATTAAAATATATGGAAAATATATGATTTGATCAGTGCTGAGATTTGTCATTAACATCGAAAGGATTTTACGTGATAATGCAAACCAATTTTCTCTCGCCGCCTCAGCAATCAGCCATACACATTTTTGAAGATTTGTAAGGAGCAGTGTTCGGAAATCATTCGCAAATCTCATTCATTCAGCCTCTCTTAGAAAATTATTTCGCCTGCGAATCTGGCATACTAATCTATCGCTTGAGATTCTCAGGAATTTTCACGCACTCACACTCACAAGGCCAAAAAATCATTCCAAGCGGCGCCGGTGGTGTAGTGATAAGCGTGATTACCTCTCACCCCAGCAGGCCTGGGTTCAATCCCAGTCGGTGCCACCGGATGTTCTGAGGCATAACATCTCTGATCACGCCTTCCTTCGGAAGGGAAATAAAGCCATTGGTCCCCGGTCCATGAGTTGATGCGTCGATAGGTAGGGTCCAGATGTGGGAGCAGTGGTACTAAGTACGGTAAACAAGATAGACGGAAAACAAATCAAGGAAAAAAAATTAAATATTCAATCCGTAGTTGCATTAAGTGCAAATGAATAAATTAACCTAAATAAATGAATAAATAATCTGATGGAACCGCCTTCTTTTATTTAGACTAGTACCCAATACTTATTGGACAAAACTAATCCTTTAGTGAAATTACCTTATTGGCGAAATATCCTTCGGCTGAATGACCGTCGGTGAAATGTTTCAGCCTTATTATTTACCTATCCTTGTGCTTAGTTTATTGATTTTATTACATGTAAAGTCTTTATTTTAATTAAATATGACTATTATCGCCGATTTGAAGAAATCAGCTACATAATTCTGTACACCGTGCAGCTACATTTATTTTCGAGATTATCACAATACTTGCCTTCAGCATTCTTCACAACCAAAATCGCTTCCCCACAAACCCCGCCCTTCCAACCTAAGTACAATACTGCAAGGTCTGATTGAAGGTCGTCGTTCCTAGGGGACACTGCCTCAGCGCTGGCACGTAACGTCCGTTCGCGATGTAGCACTGGTAGTACGTCGACGGGTCGTTGGTGTTGACAAAGTTTCCCACTCCAGCACAGACATAGACGCACGAATTGGTCACCGTGCTGAATGAAGCCCGATTGGAACACTTGAACATGTATGGCGTTGTAACCCCATTCTGCACTAAACAGTAAGCGTAGTACTGCCGGGATGTTCCGTAGTACACAAATCCACCGGTGGCTCCACAACTAACCGTAACGCATGGTGAAAGACTCTGAGTACGACACTGCAGGACCGAGAGATTGAACCGCGTTCCCGATGGGCATTTATAGACGTCCGAAAACCCTTGTACCGTGCGGCACACGTGGTAGATGTTGCAGTTGGATGGATCTGTTGTAAGAGATTTTCTGATTATTTTCCTTTGTCAATTGAAAATGTCCGTTGGTATCACCTGGCAAAAGTCCCTGCGATGAACAAACGATTGCAGCCGTTTCGTCTGATGGGGGAGCACAGCCTTCGGCGGGAACGGTGCTACAACTAGCTTCGACATCTCCAGGGACGCAATAGGCGTTGGATCCGGAACATTTGACATCCACGGCAATGTTGGGGGCGATGCAGATCGATAAGGCCGTACAGTTTGAACAAACGGACGTTTGTCCGCCACCGCAGGTACCTGGTACGAATGCTCTGGCGAAGGAAACTTGTTCTAGCTTGTTTCCAAGAACCGCATCTTGGCTTTGTGAGGTCGTGGCAGAAAGAAGCAGCACGAGAATCAGAAAACTGTGGTTCATCTTGGGCAGGCGAGATGAATCTAACCGAGTGGCGGAGCGTTGTTGTTTTGCAGTCTTATGATGCAGCTCGCTTTTAAAGGTATAAATTTTGCTGGATGTGCTATGGATTACCCATCAAATCCGAATGTCATTATAAATTGTAGAAAATGGGTCAGTTGATAAACGATGGCTGATAATGAATTCAACAAAGGCTTGAATATGTTGATAATGAGTTATAAAGTTTAGTGAATCTACATAAACATGCACAGTGGGCTCAATGGTGCACTTTTAAAAATCCGGCCATGTTACCCAATCGGCTTAATAACTTTCAGCTTATGACCCATTGAACATTTTGGCCTTTGACCAAAAGGCGTTACTCCTTATTTTGTTGCATTTAGGTTCTATTTCCTGAAAGATTTATGATATTTAATGAGTGACCAATATACGGGCACAATTCCCAAACTTGACATCATTTGACAAATTTAGATTCTGAAAAAGGTTACTGTAATGACATAAATATTTGATTACAAAACCTCATCCAAATCCAGTGCCTAATCTGAAATCCATGTCAATATGATCCGTTAACACCTTATTCACCACAAAAAAGAGAATACCCAAAGAAGGTTAAAAAATTTTGCACTTGCACAACGGACGATTGTTTTCTTAAATACCTAAGCTAATTGCCAAAAATATAAGGTTATACCTATAAGCCATAGGATTAAGGTACGGATACCCACCCCACCCATCGTAGTAAAGAGGATGGAAGCAGAGTTCATCAAGGATAGCATCAGACGGCTACATAGCAACCTGGACATGAAGATTTTGGAATGTTATTCTCTACGCCTCAAATTGGCCAAAGAGTATCCAATTAAATTCCAGGACTTTCTGTCTAGGGCCAAGGTAGCAGAGCAGTGCTGGAAACGAAAGCTGCACGATAGGAAGCTAAACAGACTACGACACGAGTCTCAACAAAGACGGACGACACACCGAACGGGTGAGCAGATCCCATCAACCATCACCACGACGCCGAGGGTTCACTGCATTGATGGGTTGGTTGTAAACCGATCTACGACCGCATTCACGGAAGAACAATTGACACACCTCAACAAGAGGCTAGGATACGCGGTTACAACCAAGCCAGACGTGGAGTAGATCTTCATTGACGTAGAGACAGCGATTACCAAGACACTTTCAAAATCATCACAGAATACGTTCAGGGCTATCACATCGAACATAATCAAGGACGGACAAGAGCAAAGTCGCGCCCACGAGAAGGAAATTCGGAATTTAAAGGAGCTGAAAAGTAAAGCAGTTTACTATGTGAAAGCAGGCAAGAGCAACGCGGTCGTTATCATGGACAAAGACGATTACGACAATCAAATGGCAACGAAGATTAACAACGGACCGTATATACAGCTTCGAGTAGACCCCTTACAGAGCATAGTGAAACGCGTTGAGATAGCACTGAAGGAGTGCAAATCAATATTAGGAGAGGGAGCAGGCCGTTTACGGGAATCCAATCCCATTCTACCCAGGATCAAAGAAAATGAAATGCGAGAAATCATATCTGCAGTTGGTTCCCCCCACCCACAAACTAGCGAAGTGGCTAGTCACAGAGTTCCAGAGTATGCCGAATCAGTTCTAGAGTAAAGCAGTTAGTAACACAAAGGAGTTCACCCAGCAACTACAATCTTCAAGAGACATCAACGAGGACGATATTATGGTATCTTTCGACGTCACAGCTCTTTTTCCCAGCGTACCGGTCAAGGAAGCGATCAACCATTTGGAGGACTGGCTATTAACACATCGAGAGGATGCAGCATGGAGAAACAAGGTTCAGACGTACCTTTAGCGTCGCCTTTGTATGGAAGAGAACTACTTCTCATTCCGAGGTAACTTGTACAAGCAGACGAAAGGAGCCCCAATGGGAAACCCCCTATCCCCCTTCCTGTGTGAACTTTTCATGGCCAACTTGGAGACTATTCTTAAGGAGAAAGGACTATTACCAAACCGTTGGTTTGTTGATGATATCTTCAGCGTAGTTAAAAGGGAAGCCCTTCCACAAATTTTAGATGAGATCAACAGAATTCACAAGAGTATCAAATTCACTCACGAGGTAGAAAAAGACTTACATTTCTCGATATTCTAGTCATCAGGGAATCGTCATCATCTTCTTAGCTTGAATACGAAATTTACAGGAAACCAACAAGCACCAACAGAGTTATCCCCTACACTTCCAACCATTTTTTCCAGCAGGAAATGACCGCCTTCCACCACATGATTCATCGGATGCAGACTCTTCCACTCAGCGATACAGGAAAGGTTGAGGAATTCATTGATAAAAAAAGCGAGAATTCTACAAAGGAGATTATTTACAACCCTCACCGCAGCACCTGAACCCTTGAAACGAGTGTCCTTTCCATTTGATCAAGATATTACTTGTAAGCTAAGACCACAGTTAAAACAATTCGGATTAGATTTAGTTTTCACCAGTTAACATAACCAGTTGAAATCATTGTTAGGATCCACTGAAGACCCAGTTTATGTTTTAGGTAAAGCAGGTGTATATAAATGGGGGAGGTAGCTCATCGATTCTTCCGGTTCGCCTCCTAGCATCGTGCTATAAGGTACCAGGCGATAACCAGGGTAGTTGATCGATAGCTCGATGACGTCATTTCGTTGGCGTCTGCAATGGGAAATACTCATAGCAGGCGTTGACGATGGGACGCTGTCGAGCTGTTGATTCCAGTGCGCGCACTACCGTATGCGAGACGCAATACGATTAGTCTCATAGTCATAGCAGTCTCATGCGCAAGAGATTTGTAGCACTCTGTTTCTCTCTCTTCAGTGTTGTCGCATCTCACATTCTCATAAAGTCAGTGTGTCGCACTGTTTTGTAAAGTGGATCCTACACGATTGCTTTTATTGACAATAATCGTATTGTCAATACATTCTATATTGACGTCAATACATCGGTATTGACAATATTTCTGTATTCACATCATCAATATTATTGTCAATAATTCCCCTTCGCATGAATATATTGAAACGTGTGGGGTTCGCTTAAGCACAGCACATTTCCGGATGTATGCGTTTCATGACAACGATTATCATGCGACGTCGCGGGAGCCGAAGCTCATGCGCTTTTCGCAATGAGACGTCGCTAAGCGACGTATCAATGCGACATCGAAATAACAAACTCAACTGGAAGACCAACTCGTGTTCTTGATGTGGGAAAAGTGTTGTTTTGTTTTGAAAACGATGGAAAGTGACCTAGCTACTACACTTTTATCGAACATGGAGAAGAGGTGTCGGATGGTTATGACCAACAAAGTTTTCCTAGCGGCAATTTTCGTTGATTAAAGGATTAACTTGAAAAATAGCCCATTCATAACGAAGGAAGGAAGAGATGTGGCTTTGGTAAGCGAAATGTACAATCAAGTTGTGGTTTATTTGCTCGTTAATACATATGCTTTTTTAAATTTCACCGAGGGTCCAGGGTACTAACACTAGGACTATTTAGAAATCTGTCGTCGCAAATTGATTGTTTCAATTCAGCATCATGGTGGCTGATATGAACTATCCGGTGAGCACTAACACATCTGAAGAATTCAGTTGCTGCCGTAGTAAGTTTGTTGATTGACAGGTATTCAATTCCTGAATCAAGAAGCTTAGCAACAATTCGTAATACAGATATGACACAACTTTTTCCTAAATATATTACATTAACCTTAATCCAGCATTTCGTACCTACGTACACTGAGGTGCTAAGTTGATCGGACAAAGGTCGTTTTCATACAAACTAGCCAAGTTTAAAATGTTGTAAATGTGTTTTGTTATGATCAATTGAGCTGAAATTTTGACGCAAAACTACAAATATGTTGAATTTCACGTGTAAGAAATACCAAATTTTCTGAAGCACCTGCTGGAAGGTGACAATAAAATTAAAATTTGTGCATAGCTGATCGGACAAAGGACAATGGAATAGCAAGTTTTGAGTCAAAATTTCAACTCAATTGATCATAAAGGGTGATACGGTCAAAATTTGGTCAATATCAACTTGACGTATTTCTTTCAATTTTGCATTTAAAAAACCTGAACACCCCTCATTTTGAAGGTGTGTGTGTGTAGAATGTTGCTCCTATTTTGATTTTGGAATTCACTCTTCAGTTGTCAAAATGCCGTCCAAGCAAGAAGAGCAGCGTATCAAAATTTTGCTCGCGCATCGCGAAAATCCGAGCTACTCGCACGCAAAGTTGGCAAAATCGCTAAAAGTTGCCAAATCAACCGTTACAAATGTAATTAAAGTGTTTGGGGAACGTTTGTCGACAGCCAGGAAGTCTGGATCGGGGGGAAATCGAAAACCGGAAGTCGCTGAGACGACAAAGAGAGTTGCCGGTAGTTTCAAGCGAAACCCTAACCTCTCTCTCCGAGATGCCGCAAATAAGCTGGGTGTATCGTCTACAACCGTGCATCGAGCCAAAAAACGAGCCGGACTATCGACTTACAAGAAGGTAGTGACTCCAAATCGCGATGATAAACAAAATACGACGGCCAAAGCGCGATCCCGGAGGCTGTACACGACGATGCTGACGAAGTTTGACTGCGTGGTAATGGACGACGAAACCTACGTCAAAGCCGACTACAAGCAGCTTCCGGGACAGGAGTTTTATACGGCAAAAGGAAGGGGAAAGGTAGCAGATGTTTTCAAGCACATGAAACTGTCAAAGTTCGCAAAGAAATATCTGGTTTGGCAAGCCATCTGTACCTGTGGATTGAAAAGCAGCATTTTCATAGCTTCCGGGACTGTCAACCAAGAAATTTACGTGAAATAGTGTTTGAATAAACGTCTGCTGCCTTTCCTGAAGAAACACGGTTGTTCCGTACTGTTTTGGCCGGATTTTTCATCTTGCCATTACGGTAAAAAGGCCATGGAGTGGTACGCCGCCAACAACGTGCAGGTGGTTCCCAAGGACAAGAACCCTCCCAACACGCCAGAGCTCCGCCCAATTGAGAAATACTGGGCTATTGTCAAGCGGA